TCTAGGGTCTTAGTGTTTCTTACTAACATGTAAGAGCTCTTGTAGCAGAAACTATTCATCTACCTTCCATTTTTGTTGCAATACTTTATCTCGGTGTTCCATTTTGAGTTTGGCTTTAAAGACACTGATGTTACATTTTTATGTGGTCAGATCTATTAGGTGTTTTGTTTGTGGTTTTTCTCCTTTGTTTCTTGTTTTGTGCTTTTTACTCACCCACCACAGGTTCTCCATGAAGAGAATGAATAGTCACTTTTTCAGCACGTTGTGGTCTGCACCACGCTCAGCCAGTGAGCGCAGCCACCATCTGTATATGGGGATCCGAACCCACGGCCTTGGTGTTATCATCACCATACTCTCATAGTGAGCCACAGACCGGCCATGGCTTAATGGTGTTTTCACATCTGTTACTTTCCTTTTGAAATAGGAACTACTAATATCTTGTCTTATAATAGGGTATATATGAAGCAATTGGAAACCTGGACAAGAAAGTTGATGTCATTCTTGGAAAGGTTTCAAAAATCAAACATCTCGCGGAAGCACAGAGTCAACTTCGCGTAAGTGTTCTAAAAACTATCTTCACATCTCTGAGAAACTTCTGGTTTCTAAAATTGCCAATCTGCTGCAATTGATAGAGAACTACTAACTGTGTGCGAATAGCAAGGCTGATCGATACTTGCTTTAGTAGCAGATGGTGAACAAAGACTTTGTTGGAAGCATGCTGAAGTTTAGGTCAGAGAAATGTATGACAGTGAGCATTTTTATGTTTCTAACTATAATGTCTGAAGTACAATTATAAGGTACAGTTGGAGAGGCATAAAACTTCATTATGTAATGAAAATAAAGCCTTTATTTTTACTACTCCAAAGCAATGTTGCACGGAAAATAAACTTTAATGTGTATATACTAATTTTATTTCCTCTTTCAGTCACCGTTGTTTTACGTTGGGTTTGTGTCTTTTCAGAAGCCATTGCTGGGTGTGCCTGGATATGCTTTCAGAAATTATAAGTACCAGCTGTCTAGAAGACGTAAATTGGAGAAAATGAGGAAGAAGGTGTTTCGCAGATCATTCTCCAGCCACGAAAGCTATAGCCCAACTTCCCCAGTGGGGAGGCGGGAGAATAATTACCAGAGCATCCCTGAAGGGGTATGTAATCAGTCGGAGGACTCCCAGAAAACAGGTCAGGAGTCACTGCTCATGGAGCAGGAGTAGAAGGAGCAGAAGATGTTCTTCAGCCTGAGTCCTTGACGCTTGTCTGCAAATCCATATCAGCCTTCTATCGTGCCTGATAACCCTCTGCGGGGCACTTCTTTAATGCCCTCCTATACCAGCCCAGGGGCAGTTAAGAACACCAGCATCCTTCCAAATGTCCCAGCTCCCGGGGAAGGACCTGCAGCCCTACGGACCCAGGAAGACTCCAATTCAGTAGATACCCCTGAAATGAAGACTCACTCCATCTTCCTGGGGAATAAACATACTGCAACATCTCTCTGCGTCCCTTCTGGTTTGGGTGAGTCTGAAGTGACACATATTACAAATCACACTATGTAACCATATTCATCCACATCCTTGATGTAAGATAGTGGAAGCTGTGTGTTTTCTTTGGAGGGATTGTTTTAGGTGACGTTCGTAATGATAACTAACATCTATTGAGTGCCTGTTCTGTGTGAGGATTTAAAGTAACCTGTGAAGCTGCTTCTGTGGTGGTCAGATGGGACGCTCCTGTACAGGCATCCTTACGTCATCTTTATACATGCCTTCACCAGATTTTGCAGTTGGAGTCCTGAGTCCTTGTTGGGGTACTTAAGAGGAGATTCGAGCAATGAGAAGGTTACTCCCTATCTAATAATATCTCTTCTTTCAGCATAATGATCGGGTCAAGTATGATTTGTCTTTCTTTCTCCCCATTGAAGCTACAAGTTCACCAGTGCATCCTGAGCCCTCTGTCTCTGAGGACCCTTCAGCCTGGTCTGTCGATGAAGTGATCCTGTTTCTACAACATACAGAACCTCAGACATTAGGACCCCTCGCCAGCCTCTTCAAGCGTTATGTAATGTATCTTTTTCTCCAGTTTCCCTACCCTAAGGCCTTTGAGTGACCTCTGTGCAGGCTTTTCAGTTGGTTACTGAGTCATGCAAATGGTGGGGCCTCGCTATCAACCGATTTTTCCATATGTGAGAAAGGTTAGATCCTTGAATGGTAGGTTAGCGATC